GCGCCTGTGGGTGATAGGGAGGGGGAAAGCCACGGCACGCCTGGGGCGCCGGGTGCGAGCCGGCTCGTGACCCTGTGCCCCGAGCCGGGCCAGGCGCCGGGACGCTGGGGTCCCCGGCGGAAAGCTCTTTGCATAAACAGATGGCGCGGGCGTCTTTGTCTCGCTCGCTCGCTGCACGGCTCCCGGCTCCGCTTCTGTCTGGCTGATGCAATCATGATCATCTCGGAGCCTCGGGACTCGGCGCCCTTAATAGCAGCAGAGGGGGTCGGGGCCCCAGGGCTTCCCAGCAGATGTTGGGCACTGTGTCTTCCTCCTGGGCGCCACTTCCACGCCCCAGAGCTGCAGCGGGAAGACGGAGGCCGCGCCGAGGTGATGGGCTTGTGGAGATGACAGGGAGGGGTCTCCAGGCAGTGCCCCGAGGTATCCCCGGGCTGGTCCCGTTGGACTGCCGCAACTGCCCCCACCCGCAGGGGCATCAAGCCAAAAAATAGGCACGGAGCTGGGAAGTGAGGTGGGAGATACAGAGACAGGCACAGCGAGGTAGAGATGTAGAGGGGAGAGGAGAGAGACCCAGAGAAGCAGGGTGCAGAGGGACAAAGCCAGGTAGAGGGGGCAGCAGAGGGAGAGACTGACACAGAATGAAAAAGGACTGAGAGACAAAGACGTACCCAGAGAGACAGAGCTAAGACAAGACGGAGGCAGGCAGACAGATAGACAGACAGAGACGGCCAGAGCAAGAAAGAGGCAGAAAGAAGGGCCGCCGGAGGCTATGGCAGGCCGAGTCAGGGCGGAGGGCAGCCCCAGAGCTCTGAGGCTGCACAGCTCGCTGATGGGAGCCCGCCTGAACCCGAGTGCCGCCTGCTGCTGGGGAGGCGGGAGCTTCTCTATACCCTTTCTGCCCTCCGACCTCACCTCACACCAGAAGGGTGGAGGGTGAGGAATCCACTGCCTTGGCGGAGGCATTAACCTGAGCCAGGGACTGGGCGTGGACTACACACTCCAAGCCGAGACTAACCTGCCCGAACGTCAGGCGTGCAGGGCTCGCGCTGCCCGACAGTGGGCGCCAGAGCCTCTCCCTGGGCTTTGGAGCCTCTCGGCCTCCAGGGGGCGCCCGCGCCCACAGCCCCTGCAACCCGTGCGCCCAGCTCAGTCCAGATGCGTTTGCCAGGCTGCTCCGCCAGCGCGAGGATTAGTATCCGGTGCCGTGTAGTGTTCAGGTCCAGTCCCTGCGCGACCCCCCAGCCGCGTCTAATCTGCGGATAATGGCTCCTGCCATCTTGAACCCCACTGTGCCAGTGTGGCCTGAGTGCTGGGGTCGTGGGAAGGGAGCGGGGAGAGATGGAGTCTGGAACCCAGGAAGTTCTGTGTCCCAGCTCGGGCCCCAGAGACCACATTACAGAAGCAGAACACAAAGACAGGAGGGGGGCTTAGAAATAGGCTCGCAGAGACTGGGACTTGGAATTAGAAGCAGGTGAAGGGTTAGGGAGTCACCGAGAAGAGAAGTGGGAGCAGAAGTGACAATAAAGTGAGGCCCAGACCAAAAGGAAAGGATCCAGGTCACCAGCACTCGGAAGAAAGTGAGGGGGGGGGTCTCCAGAGCAAAGGGGTGGGCGTCCCTCCTGGCGTCCTGGCTCCCCAGCTGTGCTTCAGGGAGCCAGATGTGCAGCCCAGCTGTGCAACCGCTGGAGCTCAGGGATTGATTTTTAGTCCCAGAGACGGGGGCACGGGTGACAGGACACCCCCACCCTGACCGGGCCCTGGAGGCGCGGGAGCTCACGAAGGACTCGGAGCTACTCCAGACGCTGACATCCCGTCAGCCCCCACCCTCCGCCTCACACACACATCGCAGCGAGTCTCTGTCTCTTTGTTCTCGCCGTGTCTCTGACACTTTATCTCATTATCCGCCTGAGAGAGGCGGAGAGCCCGGGACCCCGCAGCCTAATTACAGCCGCGCTTGTCAGCACAGGGGGTGGGGGAGGAATCCGCGCGCCCGCGCACGAAAGGGAGGGGGTCCCCAGGAGGGGCCCACTCCCTCCCTGTACCCTGAGGTTGGGTGCACCGGCCGCCCGCCCTCAAGCCAGCCAAGGGTGGGCTCTGGAAGGGATCAAGTGGGGGAGCTTGACAAAATTAGGCTGCAGGTGAAAGTTGGATGTGGGGTGGAGGTTAGTGTGGGAGTCGGGAGAAATGCTTAGGGCCCCTTGCTGCATCCCTAAGCCCCTGATTTCCCGGAGAAGAGGTGAGCCTTCCCACCTTGGCAGCAGAGAAGACACCTGCGTTGGCTCTGGAAAAGGAGGCAATGGCCCCTCCGCTGTCTGAGTTTTCTCTCTTTCTGCTTCAACATTTTCCCTATCTTTCCTTGAAGATTTCCTTCACTCCCTTCTCTCCACCACACAGCCAGAGGCAGAGGTGGCCTCCTTGCATGGCTCCACCTTCACCACTACCCTAAGCAGGCAGGGCAACCAAGTGTGCCAAGCCTCCGAACAGCACAACAGACTCTTCTACCCTGAGCCCGGACGCAGACACGCCTGGTTCCTCTGACTTCCAAACAGTTATTCCAGGCTAGCCACAACCTGGGGAACCTCGGAAGGGTAAGGGGCAGGCGCATCTTCAGCGCTGGTTTCTCTCCCTTCCTCCCACTACCCTGCAGACAGGGCGGGGCCAGGGTCCTAGGACCTGCTCGCTCCACTCCCGAATGGTTTCCAGTGTGCAGGGACTTGCTATGGCTGTCCTCACTGGTCCCTGATCCCACCTGTGAACACTGGGCAAGTGTATTTTACGAGAGGTCTGCATGCCTGTGTCGCAGCCACCAGTCCTCCTGGACAAGTCTCCAGGTCCTGTACCCATGCCAGGGTGGAGGTACTTGGAGGAGAGCAGAGCAGAAACCTCTTAGCTCCCCAAGGATTCCTCTCTGCGTTGAGCCTGAATTGCCGGAGGAAGTGAGCTGGTGGGGGTGGGGTAGCCTAAAAAATGACTGGGGCTGGCCGGCTGGGCTGAACCCTCCCTGGGCTGAACCCTCCCTGGCGGGGCGGGACCCCAGGAGGAGGGAGAGAGCAGAGCCACTGGAGAGGACCAGACACTGGAGAGACGTTATGGCAGGAACCGGTCTTGGGGCCCGCTTCTACCGGCAGATCAAAAGACATCCCGGGGTGAGTTCGGAACTCAGAGCTCCCAACACCCAGCTCTCTGGCTGCCCCCCACCCCACAAAATCTCACAGTGCCCTGCCTCGCGCCCAGTTCCCCAAACGCTCCTAACTTCCCCAGGGTGCCCCCAGTCTGTCCCTGCAATGTGCCCTCGCATCCCTGGGCTCTCCCTTGGACAGGATCGATGTCTGGTGAGGGAGACCATAGCAGGAAATGTCCTAGGAGTCTCCAGATCCCCTCCCCAAGAAGATAGGGAGTGCAGAGGGGTGGAGGGGAGGTTGAGCAGACTGATTGAGAAGGGCGATTGGGAACTGCAGGACGGGATGGGCCGACCCTCAAAGTGCCCACCGCCTTTTCCGCAGCTCATCCCGATGATCGGCTTCATAGGCCTGGGCATGGGCAGCGCTGCTCTCTACTTGCTGCGACTCGCCCTGCGCAGCCCGGACGTCTGGTAAAGGCTGGGCGTGGGCCTGGGCTGCAGGCTGGGGTCCTGAGGGAGGCAAAATGGGGTGGGATTCCGAGACATGGTGGGAATGGGGAACGCTGGCGATCCGATCCCTGGGCCAAGCACTTCCGATGGAGGTACCACGGAGCACATCAGGCAGGAGTCGGCCCTTGACGTGGGACCTCCCACCTCCCCTCTGGCCCACCTGTCCACCGGATTGTCCCTGTAGCTCCAGGCGCAGAACCCTCGCCACTCAGGCCTGGTTGCCATGGCGACAAAACTCTGCTGGCGGCCTCAGGCTTTTGGGCACCTCTGTGTCAGCAGGAGCACTGGGGACTGTGGTGGGGTGAGCTGCTGGGGCGACACTGGGATCCAGGGCGCGAGGAGACTTCCCTCACCATTGGAGGTGGCAGGGTGGGGGCCCTCCAGCAAGGGAAGGCGCCCCCACTCAAGACCTTATTGGAATTCCAGGCACATCTCTGAAACCACAGCCCCTGGGGACCTCTGTATGGTTCCCAGGTTCCCACGACTCTGCTTTGTGGGGTTAACCTAGGGTGGCAGGAAACAGGCAACAGTCCTTGGACCCGGCTGACAGTCCGGCTCCAGGCCCCACACTGACAGTAGTGACAGGCCTCTTGTCTGGCTTGTCAGAACCTAACATCCCCTCCTGTCAGTGTCTGCGAAATGCCCACCCCCTCCAGTAAGGAACCGAGCAGGGGTCCTAGGGTGAGGGTGGACCCTGGCTGGAGCTTGCATCAAGTCTGGCTCTAGAATCCTGGCTCCCAGAGGGGAGACCCTAAGCCTGCCCCTCCTGCTCCACAGCTGGGATAGAAAGAACAACCCGGAGCCCTGGAACCGCCTGAGCCCCAATGACCAATACAAGGTACTGAAGAGTCGCTCTTTCCTCCTCAGGGCCTGCTCCCACACCTCGCCCACAGGGAAGCAGGGGAGCAGGGGGTGGGGGGGTGCTCAGTGCAACCCTCTTCCCGCTCTCCTTCAGTTCCTTGCAGTTTCCACTGACTATAAGAAGCTGAAGAAGGACCGCCCTGACTTCTAAGCCAGGCTGGGCTGAGTTCAACATAAACCACAGCCAACCACTTCTTCCACTCCTCCGCCCAGACCCCGGGCAGCAGTCTGGCCACCCCATCCAGCTCCTGCTTCCACAGGCCTGTTCCCAACCAGAGGGGGGCAGCTCCACTACCTCGTCGCTTGTT